CACTAAAAAGATAAACATAGTCATGACGGGAAGGGAAATTATAGCAGATAATAAAGATAAGCTAACTGTTACGTGAGGAGAAGAATTACAGGTTAGTTTGAAATCTTGAATTTGGAAATGTAAAGATGGCACAATCTACAGAAAAGGCTCAGGTGGGCAGATTGGAAGTAGGGGCGAGGGTCATGGCAGATGATACACCCTGAGAGGGCAGATGGATTGCTGAGGTTGAGCATGGGGCTTTTGCTTTCATGGTGCATGTAGAAGCAACAGCTATGAATCAGGCATATTGGTGAGTACCTGTTCTCTGTATTTAAGATAATTTCCAAAAAGAACCACCTAATATTGAATCTGATAGCATCAAGGGCTTGTCCTTCCCAGTCTCTATAACCACAAGGACTTGACTCTGTAGCTACTACAGGCATCGTCTAAGGGATTTTGTTACGAGGAGCTTAAACCAACTAAGGCAGGTCGTTAGGTCAGTCCCATCATCTGACCAAGGTGTGAATCAACTGGTTATTATAGAAACACTATGGTAGAAACCTTTCTGTACAGGAGGAGTCATGGAACCCCCAGCTGACCCAACTGAGCCCTACACTACTGTGGTTACACAGAAGCATTTCCTTTCTTGGTTCTCTTGCTCAGTACCAACTAAAGTCTGGCTTCCAAATGGATTCTTTTTCATGAACTCGGAAAGTCCAATATCTAATTTTGATATTTTTGAGGATTAAATCTATACTCTTCAATAAACCGTCTCACTTCTCTATCATTTTCACTTGATGCACAGGCTTATATTTGGCCCTAACTTATACTTGGCCTGGCATGGGACATTATTGCTAGCTTCTTTAAGACATTCCTTTCGACTGATCTTTGTACTTTTCTATATTCTCTTCTAAATAATAATTTTCTTTTCACAAACACACAAACACCTACACACATATAATAATTATGAAGTTCCAAACTTGAAGCTTTGGGGGGATTTCTATTTGATTATTTTAAAAATAAAGCTGTTGTCAGCTTTGTTTGTGGAGAGGGTTTAGAAGCTCTGTTTACTCTGAAAGTAATCACTTCTTGATTCAAACTGCTTCACCAGTAAATAGAATATCTTAGGACATTAATTATATGGGAGAGAAGTCAGCAAGAAGTAGCTGTTACAATCCATTACTGTACAAGAAATAGCAAGAGAAGGGAGAAAATGTAAAGACAGAGATAATTGTTATAGCTCGGCTGTGAATAGGATTGGGATAGATGGATTGGAATAGTTTATCTTTCTCCTCCATAATAAACTCAAACACAGTCTGGGAGTGAGCATACGGAAGTGAGTCAGTGCCCCTCTGGAACACTGCAGACAAAATCAGGACCAGTCAGGCATACCTTTTGAAATATTGTGTACATTAGTATTTTAAAGTTATTTTTTTCCGTTTCTATGCCTGCATGGTTTCCTGTACAACATTTTGACATAGTTTATACAAACCTTCCTTTATATCTGTCCTCTTTAAAGCTGAACCACCCAGAGCTCCTGTTACATGAGGGCTGATTTGGATAACAGTGTGGCTAGACTTCTTCTTTGAGATGTATATCAACCTGCTCTCTTTACTCATCTCTGCCACCTCAGGCAGTCCTGAAGAGTGCTGTTACTCACAGAATACAGTCTATGGACCCAGACATGAGTCCTTTCATTTTACAGACATTAAAATCAAGACACAGAGATACAGTTCTTTACTCTGACCCATACTGTTGGATTCTGCTGAAGTCGTCCAAAGAGAAGGTCTTGGTTCAAATGTTCTGCTCTAGCTCTATCCCCTTTGCTTATTCAAGGGAGAAATAGCAGAGTGCATGTCAGAGTCAGAAATACATCACATCCCACCTTCGTCTTCAAAGAGGATTTTATACTGACCCAGGTCTATATAATAATGTACCCAATATTAAATATTAGGATAATAAGATCATAGCAGGTTTCAGAGAGAAAAGCATACGAGAGTAATCAAGGTTTTCATGAGGCTCTGTTTAGAATTAAAAGATAATAAGATGAAACACATTTCAAAACACACCATGGTGTAGAGAGCACACTTGTTTTTTTTCCCCACTTACAGGTGATCCTGAGTAGTTATAGGGAGTGGGAGGGATAGTTGTACTCACTGGTGAAGAATCCCGTTTATAAGAGGACAGAACCTGTGTGACCACACTGCTCTCTGAAGGAGAACAAAGGCTAAAATGAGATGACACCTGGCCTATTATCCTTGAGGGCCAACTCAGAAGAGAGGTGCGTAGCTTTGTTACCCAAAGGGGGAAATGGAAACCTTGTTGCAAGAAGATGTGGAGTGGTAGACAGAAAGAAAAAAGGAAGAAATTAAGAGAAGCAATAGGGCGAGAGGAGGTTGCCCATTGCCCAGAGTGAAAACAAACAAGACAAGAAAATAAAAGGAATGCTCTAAGTCGAAGGGTGGTAGCACTAAACAGGGCAGGCACTCCCGTCACATCTAATCACGGAATTCAGCCTGGTAGGCAGGATAGGACTCAGAGGACTGAGTATTGGATCTTAGGAATGTAGTTGTGCTCAAAGTACCGAGATTCAATAACTATTTCTGTTCCTCACCTCAGAAATTTAGGATGCATTGAAGATGTCACCCCTAACTCCATCCTGGGTCTATACTAGCCTCATACTAGTGTTCAGTGATGAGACACTCTACCTGAAATCTCAAATTTGAGAAATGTTTTACCCAGTGTCTCTCACAGTGGAGCCGCATTCTCCTTCCTCTCTTCATTTTTGTTTTGTTTTTTTTTTTAATACCCTCTACTCAGATATATCTCAACTTCTTTTATTTAGAAGCAGCCTTCTTAGTAAACACCAAAATAGTTCATCTTTTTCACCATAACTGGTGTGTAATGAGGACTGAAGACAGCATGTAGATGGTGTTTCCTGCATGCCGAAGTGTGTGCCCGCCCGTGGACACTCATCCCTAGGGCTTGAGCGTATGGTCACAGGAAGCTTTTAGGGAGGGGATCATACTGCCTTCTTCTCTACACATAGCACTTCCGAAATGACCATTTCTTAGTAACTGTTCTTATTAACTTAGTTACGTAATTTTTTTTTTCTTCTCTGAAGTCTGCCATTAACTCATCCAACTTTTCACAAACCACCAAACTCACTTTAATTTGAGGTCTCTTCCCTTCCCTTTTGAACGTACATGATAATTCAGAACAGATCATCTCAATGCGCTTAATTATGGGACCAAAGTAATGAAATAGTTAAATGTCCTTAAAATCTAGAAAAACCGTGACAGGATCATACAGCAAATATTATCGGATTAACAGCTTTTATCATGTCTTCTCCACTGTTCAGCTTGAGAACACACGTGCAGACAGAGCATGGAGCACTATGGTTCAATTTGACAATTTTCTGCTTTTCGGTTTTACAAAAGTAGACACTGTACTCCATGCTGGTGGCGCTAGTATGATGCTGCATCATGTGGTCATAGGGAGTTACCCACGGCTCCCATCGGGCACACTATAAACAAGCACACAGCCATCACCTAAACTGCACCAAGACTCTGAGCTCTACTGCTTAGGTCACAAATATCAAATGCATTTGTGATCTATTCCCTCCATCTACCAAAACAAAATGCCGCACTTGACAACACTGCGTCTGTATTACAAAGCATGGTGGTCTTGTGGTTGGATGTTCAGCTGTGCTCAGTGGGGCCAACTCACAGAACATGTGATGTTACACGCTTCCCTTGGTTGGTTGGCTGTTTGGCTTGCTGACATTTAGATTAATCTGACCTCAAATTTGTAATCCTCCTACCTTATCCCTACAGTGAATACGGAGACCACTAGTGCCCACAAACATTCCAAACTTTTGTTTTGAATGTGGTATGTGTATTTATCTGTAGTGTGTGTATATTCATATGCATATGGACCAGAGGTCCAAGGCAGGTGCTTTTTTCAATTGCCCCCTGTCTTACCTTTTAGGGGCAGTCTTTCACTGAACTTGGATCTCACTGATTGTCTAGACTGCCTGGCCAGTGAGCTCCAGGGATCTTTCTATCTGTCCCTCCCCAGTGCAGACACTATAGATGCCAAGCCTTTTTGTTTCAATAATTCATGACCATTTTGTTAGGGGAAGCTCCAGAAATCTATCCTGCTCTACTTCTGTTAGAATCATATAGATTAAAGTTCTATAAAACATTTAAATCATTAGTCACTTGGTTAACTATCTACAGGACAATTGTTAACTTACTTTTATTAAATTTAAAACCTTCTTGCACATCAGGCACTTTAATATATCCTTGTTAAGAAGGAATGCATTTTTTTAGAAATTAAAATGTCATATTGTTATACTGAAGTGGAACAGTATTTTTTTAAATTTTCTTTGATAATTTCATAAACATTTCATATATAGGACATTTTGAAAAAAGTACCCCAGTTACCCCCTTCTCCAACTAACATTGTAATCCTTCTTTCCAACAGGTTTTTCTGTATGTGTTTTTGTATGTGTGCTTGCGTGTGCACATGTGTGTGCATATATACATATGTGTGTGCATGTGTGCACATTTGTGTATGTGTGTATATAATTATGTGAATATATGTGTGTGCACATGTGTGTATGTCTGTGTATGTTATTATGTGTGTGCATGTGCGTTTGTTGGGAGAGGAGAGTTATTCAGTATAGCACAGGTTACTGCTCAGTGGCTACATCTCTGAAAGAAACATCTCTTCCTCTTCATTAATGCCATGGCTCTTCAAACAGTTCATTTTTAAAAAAAAATACAATACAGTATATTTAAAAAAAGTTTTTGTTTTAACCATTACTAAGGGTATAATTCAGTGTCATGAGTCACAATTACAGTGCTGTCTAGAATTTATAACTATTTCCCACAGTTTTTCATCATGCTATAAAAAGATCTCTGTATGCGTCAAATGTAAGTCTGTTTTCCTCCTGCGTTGACTGTGTCTAATCTACTTTCTATACTTATGGATGTGTCTATTCTAAGTATTCCATGTAAAAAGAATGACAATATTTGTCTTTTGTGTCTGGGAATTCAATTTTAAAAATTTTGAGCAACTGCCAAGCTCCTTTCAGTAGCAGCTTTGACACACAGCAGAAGCAGCAGCAATGCACGATGGTCCTAGGGTTCTTGTATTTGATTTTAACTTTTTTCTGTTTGGGGTTTTCTTGTAGCTGTCTTAGTAAGTATGAAATAATCTGTGGCTTTTACTTGAATTCACTTGCAGGTGAGTACTCTGAGCATCACACAATGCTCTTTCTGCCCATTTGCATATCATCTATGGTGCTATCTGAGTCATTTGATCATTTTTTAAATTGGGTTTGTTGAGTTTCTGTGATTGAGTTACAGGAATTTTTCTTATATCTAGGCAGGAGATGCTTTCAAGATCTATAATTTGCAACTATTTTATCACATTTAGCTTGTCATTTTGCATTCTTCATAATGTCTTTTGGAAAAGTATTCTCAGTTTAACAAAGACTGAGTTACGTATTTTGCTCTTTTTGCTTGTGCCTTTGATTCCATATTAGGAATTAATTGTTATCCAAGATCATGAAGATGCATCTCTGTGGCTTTCTTGTAAAATACCTCCAGTATTAACTTACAATCCAGTCATTGATCCTTTCACTTATATGTCTATATTGTAAAAAGTAGGAATCTAAATTCATTTGTTGATAAGAATATTAATTTTGTTGAAGTAAAATTTGCTGGAAAAGCTGTTGTATTTTCTTATGAGTGGGCTTTACATTCTTGTCAAAAATCAACTGGCTAAAACTGCAGGCTATAAGTCTTGCATCACCATCTGCTTACTTATAGCTTTACCATGGTATTGATTACTATAATTTTAAAGCAAGTTTAAAATTGAGGAGTATGAATCCTCCAATCTTGTTCTGCTCCTTTTAGATTGTTTTGGGCATTCTTTTCCTCTTATGTATGATTTTCTATTTGCACAGTGAAAAGTACCAGACTATTCACAAGCATGGTTTTGAATCAGTAGATAGATTTGTATATTAAATTTCCAATAATCTTGCTCTTTAATCCATAAACACAGGATGACTTTGCATTTTATTTATGTCTTTAAATTTTTTCCACATTTTGTTGTTTTCAGTCATGTTTTTGTTGCTTTTTATAAAAATTTAATGATGTACATATTTTTGTTGATGAAATTTATATTTAGACAATTTTACAAATATATGAAAATCATTCTGATTATTCTCTCTGACCATCTCTTAATCACCCCTTCAGACTCCAGCTCCTCCTAACAAAACCCTCTTTCGTGTCATGTCTTCTTTTTATTTTTTTTTAATTTATGATCCACTGTTTTTGAGCACTGCTGATTGTGTGATCATGGGTTTGGCACTATCACTTGAACCTGGTGGGATCAGAGGTGGGTACACAGCTAAAGACAGGAACTCTGGGAATCTATCAACACTAGTAGTTCAGAGGTAAAGAGTATGTCCCATGAGCTACACCCTTACATGACAGATCATATTTTTTATATCCCTTTTATCCCAAACTTAATTTTATTCTCAGTACTTTACTCTGGTATTTTATTTTTCTTGATGCTATTTTAGATGAAATGCATTATTAATATCCTCTTTGGTTTTTCATATAGACTTGGAAACATGGCAGGTTTGAAAGCATAAGGATTATAAACACGGATATTCTAAGCAAAGAATCTGATGATTTTGCTCATCAGCCTTAATAATCTTCTTGTGGAATCACAATTGGGTTTTATATGTGAGATCATATTGTTCACGTTTAGAGACAGTTTCCTCTCTCATTCCTCCTCAACTATCTGTCATTGGTTCATTTTATCTAGATTATCTGGTTAGAATATTCTGTATACTTCTGAAGAGTAGTGGCAGAAGCATCCAGCCTTGTCTTAGTTTTAACCCAAAATGGAATATTCCACTTACTATTGAGTAGAGTCAGCTACTGGATTCTGTAAATCTCCTTCATTGTGTTGGACATTTGACTTTATTTCTGGTTTTCCAAGGATTCTGACTAGGAAAATGTATTTCATTTGTCCACAGAGTGCTGTGGGATGGTCTGTATGTCAAATGTGTTGCTGATTGGTCAATGATAAATCACTGATTGGTCAGTGGCCAGGCAGGAAGTATAGGCGGGACTAACAGAGAGGAGAATTGAGAGAACAGGAAGCTGGGTGAGAGAGACACGGCCAGCCGCCATCAGGACAAGGAAGATGTAAAGTACCGGTAAGCCACAAGCCACGTGGCAAGGTATAGATTAATAGAAATGGATTAATTTAAGCTGTAAGAACAGTTAACAAGAAGCCTGCCACGGCCATACAGTTTGTAACCAATATAAGTCTCTATGTTTACTTGGTCGGGTCTGAGAGGCTGTGGGACTGGCGGGTGAGAGAGATTTGTCCTGATTGTGGGCCAGGCAGGAAAACATTAGCAACAAGAGAGAATTAAAGTCAGTTAAAATGATCATTCATTGTCCCTTTGATTATTCATATGATGTGCCATACTTATTTCTTGATGTTGAATCTCCCTTGAATCTCTGGAGATATTCCCTCCCCCTTTTTCCTGTCTAACCTGGTTTTCATGTCATCCTAACTTGATCTTTCCAACATTGTGCCTTGGCCTTGTTTATATCATGGGGAGCCCCCACCCATCTCTCTCTCTCTCTCTCTCTCTCTCTCTCTCTCTCTCTCTCTCTCTCTCTCTCTCTCTCTCTCTCTCTCTCTCTCTCTCACACACACACACACACACACACACACACACACACTGCCCTGCCTTTCTTAACAGAAATGCCAGGGTCTCATATGACAGTGAGCCTGGGTCTGGTGAGTGGCATGGTGATTCTGGAACCCTTTGTACTGAAAGGAGGGTTGTGTGAAAGGTTTCATTGCTAGAACATGTCAGGAATAAAGGAACTCAAGATATGCAATACATTTTCACTTCATGTAGTAACTAAACATACATTGGCTCTTCTAAATCATTTCTATTGGCAGTCAAATTTACATTCTGCTGATATGGTAGAGTACATGGGATGACTCAAAGCCTCTAATTATCTGTGTATAAAAATACATCAATAATTATACATGGTTATTGATAGACAATTTCTCAACCTTACTAGTTTTTGTTCAAAACTGCTAGTTGTCCATTCTTCTGAGATAGTAGCTATTCTCTGCTCCTATCCTACTCACCATCCTGCAACTATTGATGGAAAAATCTGACCATATTGTGATTGTATATTTATATTGCTAGATCTTAGTATATGTTTTTATATGTATGGATGTCAACTGTAATAGGGCATAATTAGAACATGAAGAGAGTTTTTAGTTCTCTTAAGACCTATAACATTCTGGTATCCCTCACTGATCACGTTAATCTAGTAACTCACCTGTCAGAGCTTAATGCTTGTGTTCATTTGCACTACTGTTTTTGTTTTTGTTTTTTGTTTTTTTTTTTTTTTTTTTTTTTTGGTGTTTGCACCTCTTTATTTATTTTTTTATTTTTATTTTTTTTATTTTATTTTATTTTACAATACAATTCAGTTCTACATATCAGCCACGGATTCCCTTGTTCTCCCCCCTCCGGCCCCCCTCCTCTTCCCCACAGTCCACCCCCCATTCCCACCTCCTCCAGGGCAAAGCCTCCCCCGAGGACTGAGATCAACCTGGTAGACTCAGTCCAGGCAGGTCCAGTTCCCTCCTCCCAGGCTGAGCCAAGTGACCCTGCATAAGCCCCAGGTTTCAAACAGCAATGAGCACAGGATCTGGTCCCACTGCCTGGATGCCTCCCAAACAGATCAAGCCAATCAACTGTCTCACCCATTCAGAGGGTCTGATCCAGTTGGGGGCCCCTCAGTCACTGGTTCATAGTTCATGTGTTCCATTCGTTTGGCTATTTGTCCCTGTGCTTTATCCAACCTTGGTCTCAACAATTCTCGCTCATATAAACCCTCCTCTTTCTCGCTAATTGGACTCCCGGAGCTCCACCTGGGGCCTAGCCCGTGGATCTCTGCATCCAGTGCACTACTGTTTTAAAGTACTTTTTGGAAAAGAAATTCTGACACAAGCACATTCAAATCACATGTATAATTACTGTGAAGATCTATGGAAATATTATAATTCACAATCACAGCTTATAGTAGGATTGAAAAGTCAATTGGTAGGCTCTGAAAATTAAATACCAGATAGTACATAATATTGCTGCAACTTTTTTTCACAGCTGCCTTTGATAGAATAAACAAAACCCATTTTATCTTGCTTTGTCACAATGTCTCAACCAAAGTGACTTTTTCTCATATCTATTCTAAGGGTGCAAAGCATAGGAAGCAAGAGAACTGGGATAATGTATGGATTTTTACTACTGTTTCACTACATATTAATATTATACATTATTAAACTGAAGAATGTATTCATATAAAAATAGAACACTGTATGAAATAGGAATTTTTAAAGATTATATAGGTAGGAAACACTTATCAGGAATACATGAGATACAAAACGCAGGATACATAATGATTTTGATTGTGCAGACTGAGCAGGTTGTCTTTATGTATTTAGAAATATGTATATATATGTGTATATATATATATATATATATATATATGTATATGTAGTAAGAACTTATGGGAAAGAGGCCATAAATTTTAAAGAGTGCAAGGAGGTTTATATGGTCAAGTTTGGAGTAAGAAAAAAGAAGTGAGCAACGAGGTAACTATTATAGTCACAAAAATTAAAGAAGAAATTAAAAGAAAAGAAAGGCTTAAGCATACCAAAAGTAAACCAGTGATGCAGGAGAGTAAGTGTAGTCATAGGGAAAAAGGAAACAATTCTCAACTGAAATAAATTGGAAAATTTCTCCCAGTATGTGGATTAAAATGAAGTAGATATTGCCAGAATACTTAGAGATGTTTGCAATAGAGGTATTTGAAAAAGAAATCCTTATGAAATGATAAAACCGTATGAAACGAAAAATGTAAAAGCTAAGGATGTCTCTGATTAAGAGGGAAGTGTGAGTGTGTGTGTATGGACACAGAGGGAAGGGTACTAGCCTTGTTTTAAGCCAAGCCAAGTGGCAAGAAACCACAACCTCTTAAATATTGTAAATGGATTTAGTTGCCAAAATAGAGACCTGTTTGATTTTTCTCAAAATACTGATAGAAGAAAAAATAATGAACGTATAATGCCAAGAAAAAAATTCTAATAATTACTTTGTGTCACAGTTCTCCTCACTAACATAAAACTTTCTGATGTAACAGAATCAGGGTCAATCTTCTTTATGTCACCAGAATTCATTTTGTCCAAATTCAAATGAATAGAGGAACATCACAGGCATATTATGATGCAATTAAAGACTAGGAAATGTAAATATTTTTCTCAGTGTATTCTCAATAACTATTGAGTGAAAAATGAGACAAGACTGAGGACTCCAGATGAGGTATTATCTAGATTGAGGGATATCTGTAAATTTTAGTATGATTTTTTTCCTTACTCACAATTTAGAAATTACTTTCAATTATACTTTTAATTCTATGATGGTTTTCTATAGCCTTGCACATAGCTTATCTATCATCAGCTTTTTTTTTACATTTTACATTTTTAGAATCATGAATTATGTTTTATCATTCTGTTTGTAGTTTGTTCTAAGACACAAATCTCACTATAGAAAGTCAAGGTTGGTTTCAGCTTTCCATCCTGGGTCTCTGAGTTCTCGGTCACTAAAACTATAAGAATGAACAATGCACTGTTTAATCCAGAAAACTCCAAAGAAATAATTTCATTCATAAGTCCTTGATAATTTGTGATAAAATTAGATGTTCAAATTTCTGAGGAAACTTTAGGTATTTTAAAAACAAGAATAGGTTTACAGATATGATCTTTTATCTTAAATGATTTTTGTAGCTGGCTGATTACTAAATGGGAACACACTATATTTTAAATTAAAATGATAAAGCTAAAATGTTCCTACAATGAAATGTATAATTTTTCAAATTTTGGTGGTAGTATAATTCTGAACTTTCTATAATTAGTATTTTTTAAACTTTCTTAGAAAAGAATGCATTTTGTAATGAATAAAATCTGTGAGAATGAAGAAATACCTAGTATTTTTTCCTAGTAAATTTTTGTATGATTTACTGCTTATGCAAATTTTATTGTTATGTTAAATATTATATAACAATATTGGAGAAATAACACAAGCAGAAACAGGTGTTTCTTGCATTTGAGTGCAAGTACCATATTTTAATAAACAAGTGACAGCTATGAAAATGTGAATTTAAATCACCTAATGTTTAATATTCATTTACAAGGAAAACACACAAATCAACAATATGGTACAACTTTAGGACATGTTAATGTGCCACTTATTGTTGCTCTGTTTCTATTAGTTCTTTTTCCATGAATAGCACACAGATATATATTAATAGCTATGATTTTCAGTTTCATTATAATTCCATTTCCAAAAGTCATTTAGCTCATTGTCTAGAAATAGGAAGTTAGCAGAGTTTGAACAATCAATGCTTATGAGTTGTAGCTCGAAGCCACAGAGAGAGATTTTGATGTACAGTCACTACCTTGGACAATACTATTTGCATATAGTCTGTGACATTCAGGAGCCTGTGTGTGGACTGCTCACTCCCTGCTCCCATTGCATAAATAGTTTGATATATAAAGTGCAGCCTGAGATTAAGTGTGTTTCTGAAACATTGGAGATTTCAGCTCAAATTGGGGTTTTATTGTTATTTTCCATGTAATTTTTTAATTGTGAAGCTGTGAAGTTATTAGGGATTTTGAAAAACTTATTTCCTTGTAAATCATTTTCAGGAACACCACCCAAGAACAAGATAGCAAATTCTTAGAAATGCCTTGAAAATGAAACCAAATGGTGTTTTCAACATTCCCAATGGCTCTTCTAACAAGGTCAAAATATCATTCCCATGTATCAGGAACTATGGGGATGGCTTATGCGGCTGGGGCCTTTTCTTCTGTGATACAGAAAGGCCGTTGATTGTTTCATCCTAGTTAATATAACATGAAACTTTAATGAGATGCCAGTACAAAGTCAATTCCCCAACGTTTTTGGAAGTTTACAGTGTGAAGTGATGAAGATATGGAAGTAATAGCAATGGGAGAGTGGCTAAGACAACTTTTTAAGACCTCAAAAACAGTCTCTCTAAAAAAGGATTGCAATGAATGATCAGTGAACTGGAATTGATCAATTGCTTTCAGAAGACTAATGGTTAACACTGTGATCATCTCTGGTTAGCACTACAATAACATATAGCCAGCAATATAAATGGAGAGGTATTTGTGCTGTGAGAAAGACACACTGATTTTGAACTAAGAATAATTTTTATAAAAGTATTTTTGTATTTAAAAAAATGTTAATAACGTTTTTCCAAATAAGATACCCAATCTAGGTTTGAAGGAAAAAATAAAATGTATTTTTCTTTCCTCCCTGGTCTCAGGGAAGTGGGAAACAAGACATCTAACTTAGGATGGGGGTAGACAGTTGAAGGAAGTGGGTAAGAAGAAAGCCAACCTCCCGGTTGCTGCGGGAGAAAATGTGGCAAATCAATAGTTCAACAGAGAAAGAGGAGGGTCACTGACCAGAGCAAAGGCATTCTTAGGAGTGACATGATGGGCTTCCCATTTCCCGTATCTCCTCTGTCATCCTCTGACCACCTATAAGCAATGTTGGCTGGAAACACCATCAGTGACCAAGTCTTGACATGTAGGAGATGATGCAGATAGATAGGAAAAGTGACCATGTCAAATGATATGCCATCAAACACCTCTCTGGTTCCTTATGATAGGCAGGCGGCATTGCCTGATGCGATAACATGCTTAAAAAATACCCAGAAATGAGTGGGAAGTGGTACACAGGAGAAGCTGGTGAGGACAAACCCACCCACAAATATGTGTGCTATTTGGCCACAGGATTGTGAAGTTCACAGAGAATGCAGAAAACCATGATTATTTTTTTAAATGCAGACTTTTTAGCAATGTAAATAACAGTAAGGAAAGTTGAAGAGAATTTGAAGCTACTAATTCCAGAAAATGAATTTGATATTTACTCCCTTGTCGGTACACAAAGCACAGCTGATTCAAGGTAAAGCTGCATCTTTCAAGAATATTGTGGATATGTTCCAATACAAAGATGCTTCCATCATTCAGGAGACACGCTTGTATTGAGGACTGAAACAGGCTTTTGTTGACTGCATTTTCCTTGGATGCTATCAGAGGTGGAAAGCTTGGACACTGGCAAATACCTACCTTACAAATGATAAACATTGTTCGTGGTATAGGAAACATAAAGTCAGGCTAACACTTGTGCCATTAGTCACCAGCACATGCTCCAATGAAACTACAAGGAATTTTTGTTAATCAATGAGTGGGTGCCAGCAAGTGGGACACTTTGTAGGAGTTCATTCTCAGGAGAACTTCCAAGAGTGGAAGATGCCTGGCTCTCCAAGAGTTGCCACATTTACCATTCAGCTTAAGAGTTCAGTTCAGCTCTACTCATCCATTCCTCAGAAATGTTTTAAGCACTCTCTTCCAGACAAGACTGGGTGTAACCGGATTTCAGAGCAGTGAGAAGACCTCTGTGCCTCTGCAGGAATTTGCATCGAGAGGAGACAATACTACAAGTTGGCATTTTCTGTTAATCTGCTATGTGATAGGTTTTGCTTGGTGTGCTAACCCAAAGTCAGAAAAGGACTAAATTCTCTCTGGGAGAAGAAAAGGGAATATTAATATGAGTGCTGAAATACAAGAAGAATTTAATCAGGCAGAAAAGAGAACAAGTACATTCAGATGGCAGAAGCAGTGAGTACCTCTATGTTTCAATATTATCACATGATAACAACAAAAGCTGAGTAGGGATATGATTATGATGTGTAGAAGAAGATGAAATAGGCTGGAGTTAGTGATGGGAGAAAGGAGGCATTTGGAAATGAAAGAGCTGACCTTCTGGGAGATCTATCAGAGTAGCAGGACTATTTCTATCACTTAATTCAATCTCTAAAATATACTAGAAGGCATCTGTCACTACCACCATTTCACATACATGAAAATTGGTAACAATAGTAATAATTATAATGAAGTTTCATATGCACATTAAAGAGATAGAGACTCAAAAGTTACTTTTGGTGAGAGGATCCCATGTGGCATCCAAAGAGGTTCAATGTCAGGTTATGGTGTGGTTCACTCTTTAACTGATAGCTGCTGTGAGTTAAAATACATCTATATTTAGTTCATCCACTCATTCAAAAGTGATAATGTGGGATGAAGTAGTTTTTACACAGGCTGAGAACAGAACTGGAGTCTTTTCAAAATCTCGACCAGCTGCTCTTTGTCAAGAACACCAAGGACTGGAGAATATAAAGCAGGAAGCCTTATTCAACAACATAAAGCAGAAAGCCTTGGCCATATCTACCTGCAGAGGCTGTGCTCTTGAAGCTCTGGAGCATTGAGGAATCCTGGAGACAGGGGTATTCTTTGATGGCTGCCATCTCAAGATATGCACCTGGATCATGGCATATATATGTGATATATGTGATATATATATATATATATATATATATATATATATATCACATATACATACCAAATTGACTAATACCTAAAGGCCCTGATGATGCCACCTTCCAAAGACATCAAATTATTCCCAAATGCAAAAAATGTAGTAATCTCCCTCTTCAAGGTCTGATAACTCCCTATAAAGGCACACAAGAGTCAGTCATCCCATGTTGGTGACTAAACTCAGTCTTTAGCTACTCCTAACACTGAGAAATTGGGATTAATAAACATCTTCTACCCCCATTAATCGTCTGCTCTTCAGGGAAGCAGCTGAAGGCATCAAACCTCACATCTTACCAAGACATGCCACCAGTGAAGAAATTCCCAGTAGTTTTGTAATTGTGATAGTAACTGGATATGTGTGTGTGTGTATAGATATATACGTGTATGTATATAGAAATGTGTATGTAAGGATCCTCGTGAGTGTAAAAATAGATATGTGTGTATAGATATAAATAACATGTGTATAAACATGTTTGAATGTGTATCGGTACATGTGTATATAGATTACTATATCTATGTGTAAACAGACACATATATGAAAATAGGCCATATTATTTTTATTAAATTGCTACTAACCACATGAAACTGCCAAGGAAACTTTTTGATAACCCTTAACTATTGCATAAACATGCTTTAAGAAGTGATAATTTACAAAATGCCAGAATGATTGATCAAGAAATCCAAAAAATGTACTTCATGAAATTAAGCAGAGAAATACCAAAGCCAAACAAAATGTGGCTGTACCTTCAAATCCAACCATTTCTAGATATGGCTGAATCATTGGATCTGGCGGAAAAAGCATTTGATTCCAGTCATACTTAAAAGAAAAATAAAGATAAAAACAGTTTTCAGCTTCCCCTGTCATGTTTCCAAATCTGCAAAGCACAGGGGCAAATCAGGCAGCGGTGAGAGGCCGTGAACTGGCTCTCTGCCATGTGTTTCCCCCTAGGCTCGTCAGAGAGTGCCAAGCAGGGTTGGATATACCTCATTAATGCACTTTTACCCGAAGAGTGGCAACCCAACAGGGGTCTACTGATCATAAACACATCAAGCCTGCATGTCTGCAGCCAATGCCCATTACATTGAGAGCCCCTTCTGCCTCCTAGGTAGCAATGTGCTTTGAAAAACTGGGCCAGGAGGCCTTTTGTGGGGCTGCCCTGAGCCAGCTTGCTAACACATGTCTGTGCCCAGGGTCTCAGCTGCTGTATATAGATGGGTATGAGCTCACAGCACTGACATGGGCAGCAAGTGGTTTTGTTTCTAAATCCACTGGATTATCATCTTCAATTATCTATAGATACTACAAATTCACCTAAATTACCTAAAGATACTACAAATGAGTAGAAATGTGCTGTTTTCTTGGTCTTGATGTTGCTTTTTGCTGTTATCTCAAATACTTTTGTCATTAATATTTATCCCTTCTTGTCATTATTATCCTATATTTCCATATATTAATTGGTGAACAAGAATTCAATACCTCTTCCCAACTAGATTCTTTTTTTTTTTTTTTTGGTTTTTCGAGACAGGGTTTCTCTGTGTAGCTTTGCGCCTTTCCTGGAACTCACTTGGTAGCTCAGGCTGGCCTCGAACTCACAGAGATCCGCCTGGCTCTGCCTCCCGAGTGCTGGGATTAAAGGTGTGCGCCACCACCGCCCGGCTCCAACTAGATTCTTAAGAGCATTAGGGCAATAATACAGTTAGCTATCTTACTCAATTACAGCCTCTAACAAACAATAGTGAATGGAATGTTACTTAAATGATCCCATTTTGCAGGCTTTGTATACAACATAACCACCATGGAACATACGTTCTTTTAATATTATCTTTCCAGAGGAACTTTAACTCAAAACATTGAGTTGTTTGCTCAGGATCTCATGGTTAATAGTAAAGTCAAAATTCATACTGATGCCTTCATCCTCCATCATCAACATAAGTCACATCTGTGGGTCTGTAGACTACTTTGAAGAAGTAGCTATAGTCCTAATGATACTAGTTTCCATTAGGCCATCTAAATTGAAGTCAAATTCTATGAGACTATATCAATATTTTGCCCAAATTTTTATGTCTCTATTTTTTCCAGTAATATAAATTCAAATTAAAATAAGTAATTGCTTTAAAACAATTTTCTTTAGAGGATTATTTTATTTCTATCATTTGAAACTGTTCCTTAGCTCCACAGCCAAGTCATGTCCTGAGGGGATTTGTCCCAAGCACCTTAATTCAAGTTGAGGTAGGAATCTGGAGTACTGCCACCACAGAACTCTCCCATATATCACTGCTTCTCAACTCTAGATTCAGGATGCCTATGTCCACCGGCTCTCTGGGCTGCTCACTCCACTGGTTTGCCTTCCTGAGGGGACTTATTAAGCTTATTCTTTTTACCTCACTGTCTTCAACACTGACTTGCTTGAGGACTGGGACTCTCTCATCACCCTGAAGGCAACAGCTGACATCCCATAAATAAAAAGTCTTCAGCCAACTGTGGCTTGTTATTGATCCCCTACCTCCCCATCGTGACACTATAGGCAAGTCAGGTACTTGCTTTTCTATGACAGCTTTCATGCTCTCTTCAGTAAGATGAAAAAACAGAGACTGGACTACTCTGAGGGACCATGTGTAGAGTACAGAACAAGCCATAATAAAGCAGAGGAAGCAGTGTAAGGGCTGGCTAGGCCACATCCCATGGAAGTACTGCGTTCAGATGTGTTACACAGAGGTCCTATCTCCCTGTGATGGGGGTCGCAGTCCTGTGGGAAATACTGCTCTAATGCTGAGAGCCAGACTAGCTCCTAGTTTCAGGGATTTGGCACCAGGCTGTGTCTCTTAAACAGTACAATCCTGGGTTTCACATGGTCAGAAGCACCCTTGTAACAACTGCAGAATCAGTAAGAATCTAGTAATTGTTAATTACCCACTATGATACTGATGCTATGCTAGTGGATTGGAGGGTGAAATCAATGCAATCTCAGCATAGGCTCCTTAGTTTTACATAGTAAACTGTACACATTTTCTGGATTATGAAACTGAATTGTATTTAGGGGTAACTGTCAAAACACAGGTGATAAATAACATTAACTAATACTTAATCTCAACTTTATACAACTTTCAAACTTGTCTGGGCTAGGAAGGATACAATTATATATTTATGCACCCAGGTATCTGGGAAAGTATTGTGTACATATGCATCCATCCATCCATCCATTCATTCATCCATCCATCCACACATTCATCCATGCATCCATGCATGCATGCATGCATGCATCCATCCATCCATCCATCCATCCATCCATCCATCCATCTATCTATCTATCTATCTATCTATCTATCTATCTATCTATCCATCCACCTATATATTCATATGATATATTTTCCTAGACAGAGCATGGCAGGACCCACTTAAACTATATTTATTTTGGAGCTCATTTTTTATACACTATACTGCTTTCTAAGCACAGATTGATCTTTTTTTACCCTTTGATAAATAAATTGGTTCATCATGCAAAGCAACAGAAGAGCCTATATAGAACCAAAGTATTTTTTTTCCGCTCAAACATACATACACTCAAAACAACGGTGGGCATCACAAAACTTCATTTTACTTCTCCAGAGATTTTATTTTTGTCGGCTACATTTAGAAATCTTTTAAATCTTTTACTTATGCTTGAAGCGAATATATTCTCATCCCTTTCTCTTTATACACACTAAAATGGAATGGAATTGGGTTTAAAAGCAGTGTATTCTTTGAGGCAAAATAAATTACAAGCAAGTCTTGCAGATAGTAGCTAGGTAAATTGATTTCTGTGTACAAAATGTCCTTTGCCTGATTTCTTGATAAAATTTTAATGTTATACATGTTGAAACTATTAAACATATCCTCAGAGCAGGGGACTTTTATTGGTGTTGCAGTTTTTCTTTTATCACTTGTTTTGTTAAGATTTTCACAATATGTTGAAAATTGGAACTGATTATGCTTCTGAGAAACAAAATGATGACCATTACCACAGGGACTTTAATTCTATATCTTTGCTTGCCACTACATTACTAGGCCTAGTATGGGAGACAACCAAGCTCATAGAGTATTCTCTATGTGAAAGTGACACAAAGAATTCCAAGTCCTGTTACAGATGGACTTGCTATCAGTGAGAACCCTAAGATTTTCAAAAGTAATGAGTTCAGTGCAGGGAAAGAGCCAAGTCATATTAAACTCTAAACAGTGATCAAGAACTGTCCTCTAAGCAGATGGTGACTGAGATAAATGTCTCACAAGGTGAAGGGCATGTCTCAGGTAAAACAGCACGTATCGCCTTGTATAGTCAGCTAACAATAATTTATTTATATCTTTTCCTCTGCAGTTGTATATGTATGTTCCTGTGTGTATGACCTTGCAGCAGAGTGGTGGAAGCCAGAGATGAATATTGGCTGTTTCCTTCAATCTCCTTACCTTATTTATTCAGATAAAGTTTCTTACTGAACCTAGAACGTGATGATTTGAGTAGACTGGCTGACCAACAAGCTCTAGGTATCCTTCAGTTTCAATCTCCTAGTGCTAAGGCTACAGGTATGTGATACTGTGTCTACATTTGTACATGGGACTTTGGAGTCAAACTCATGTGAACGAACAATTGGCCAAAAAGAACTTTATAATCTGAGCCATCTCCTCCTGCCTGACTTTAAGGAACATGAAGACCTTGTAGCTTGTAGCTAATTAACTTGTAGCTAATCCTCTACACAACCACCTTAAAGTGTACCTATTCTTAGATGCATCCATTTTACTGACCTAGAATATTCTCTTATCTTTTTTCCAGTATTCAGAATCTTACTTCACCCTTGAGATTCATATCTGCCCCAGGCAATGATTTATGTCAATAAAGTAATTTCTCCTTTAACTGAACACTTTTGTAAGAATATATTAAAAGACCAAGAAGAAAGATAAACACTAGAATTAAGGATCTAATCAAAGATTATTTAACCACTTCTTTTGTCAAAAGAAGCCTCTAGACTTAAAGGAAGTCCCTAAGATAGTATGAAGTTTTCAGAACTTCAGTTTGAAAACTTGACTTTCTTGAGATTAGTAGATAAACTCTAGATACATGTGACATTTTCCTTGAATTTAAATGTTATATTAAGAATAAATACAAAGAAACAATGCTGTCCAATTGTAGCTATAACTTGTTGTTTGTTAAGTCTTTGAACTAAATGCACCTTGATTTCATTTATACATATTTTTTAGATATATAGTCCCCCCTAACATCCAAGGAAGACTTTTTGATTTTATTTGTACATATTTTTTATTAGATATAGTGCCTCCCCTTAGCCTCCAAGTGGGACTTTTGTCTTCCAATAAGTAGCATGAGATGGGAGAATGGGAAAAATAATAACCATCCTTATGTGACTCAGTGATATATAATTGCTTCTGCACAGACATGTTCATGGCTCTTGATCTAGCACCCATAGGTCATATGTTGTATAGTGTCACTTTTAACTTAACAAAATATTGAGCCAAGTTATAAAAAGTAAAGAGTTAGTCATTTATATCTAAAAATGATAATGAAACAGGGATCCATAAAAGTAAAATGCCCATGACTAGGCCCTTCCAAATTGTGTGAGTATCTTCACAGAAATGGCTTATACCTTTCAGGGGTATACAGACTTGTAGACTGTGTTGCACTAGACACTATTCCAGAACCTAAGACACAATATAATCAGAGGATAGATGAATTGGTGGCAGTCTGTGTTTCATAGGTAGCTGTGACAAAATGCAAGCTGACTTTCTTGAGAAAGGTGCCTTAGTTTGTTTCTCTGTTGTGAGAAACCATGGGTAAAAACACTGTAGAGAAGAAAGATTCATCTTATTTTACATTTCTAGATAATAGTCCATTTCTGCAGGAAGCCAAGGTAGAAATTCAGCACAGGATCCAAGAAGCACCAACTAAGGTAGAGGCCATGGAAAATGTTGCTTACTGGATGGCTTCTCATGGCTTGCTCAACTTGCTTTCACATACAACCCAGGACTACCTGCCCAGAGGGATAGCATGGACAGAAGTGGCCTGGGCCCTCTCATGTTAATCATTAATCAAGAATATACTTGCCTACAGGCCAACCAGATAGAGGCATTTTCTCATTTGAGATTGCATGTTCGCAGAGGACTCTAGCTGAGTCAAAAAAAAAAAAAAAAAAACCTAACCAGCTAACTAGCCAAGACTTTTGGACACAATGGTTGATTGCTATTTTTATGACACTGCACTAAGAAGCATGGGACCACTGTTTATATGCACAAATGCAAAGAAAAGGCTGAGTTTATACCTGGGGTGGCCATCCACGTGTGAATTAAGGGCCTGCATTTAAAATGATGATAATTGAATGAGTTTATTTTATATTAACTCCAGTAAGAAAAAGGATATCAGGATAGGTATGTCTCTGAGGGGATTTCAGGAAGATTTTAGGACTTCAGTCAGTAGACTGTGTAAAGGGTTATTGTCACTAAGGTGAGGTGACAAAATCCAGTCATAAGACTCAGCAACATGGCAGATACAGGACAAACTCTACTGCTTCTTTATAAAAGCTAGATCATCCCCCTTTTCTTCTTCCCAACTATCAAGACTCCAACTGAATAATATCAGTATGTTTCCTGCTTCTTCACCATGTACATGGCATGGCGTGACACACAGACTGCTCTACATGCACAAGCTAGTTCTCATAAAAAAAGAGCTTGCCTTTACACAGGAGGTATTGGTTCTATATCCCTAGAGAACTCTAATACAGAATGTACTAGACAAAGCAGATAAGCTCCATACCTTAAAATGAGATCATTTGTAATAGAATTATCTCATGAAAAAGTGGACACAACCCAAAGGCACAATATAATTTATAAGAACCTCATTGTGTGGGAACTAAAATAAGAGTCCTCATGGTAGGAATATGTAGAAGGGAAATGGTTATGCGTGGAAAAGAAACAGTCATGTAAGAAAGAGAAGAAAGCAAGCCTGGGATAATATTATGGCACAGAGACAGCCAAATTCAGTCTACTATCCTCTGAATCCAGCACAGACCTCGGGGGGGGGGGGGGGGGGGGGGGGACACTGAGTTAAATACAGCTTCATGTTGTTCTAGTAAATGTGGAAATGACTGCTGTTTACATGCTAAGAACCAATTCTATAAACTTGTGCACACACACACACACACACACACACACACTCACACCAAACCTCACATACATTAGTACCTTGGACAGGAGAAGGCTTTCAGGAGAGCCTTAAAATGAGAACCCTTCAGTAGTCGTTGGGCCTTCGCTATCTTTGCATCCCTGTCTCGCAGGAGAAGCGGGGGGGCCAGCCCACCACTATTGTTCTGCTGGGTAAAGAGATAATATTCTCAGTCTGTGCAGCGCCTCCTTTATCTTTGCAGGCCTGACGTCTCAGCTCATTCTTTGAGCTTGCGGACTTATTTCTTACTTTTTTTTTTTCATATATCTTTGGTTTATGAGATCCTTACTGATTTCAGAACTTTGTACCTCTTGCTCTTTGAATTTCTTCTTTGTTCACTGTTAACTGGTTGTCTTTAAAAATGTTTCTGAAGCATTTGAAAATTCCACTTTTGCTCTTTTATGAGTTCAATTCTACTTTAGGGGCCAATAATGACTGGAGTTTCTTTTCTCAGATTGTTTGGTCTTTTAATGATATTATTACATGAATTTTTCTTCATTCTACTCAGACTACAAAAGCAAGCTTCCCTTATGTGAGAGTTTTAAAGCTAATGTAAATATCTTATTCATTATGCTTTATTCATATTTTGTTTCTTCATTAGTAGCACATGCCTTGTCCATCCTTGTAAATATATTGTAAGCATTACTGTGAGGAAAGCTCCTGAGAAAGCAATATCAATCAGGAACATAATAATAAATGTAATAAAGTATACCGATAGCATATAATTTGAAGTTTTAAGACTAACTTAAACATGAAGTTTTCACAGCACAAATTCTTAAATTGAAATACATTGCAGAGATAAGATTTTCAAGAATTTGACATTTTTAAAAACACTCCGAATGGACATTGTATTCACAAAAATGTGCTAAGTATAGGCAAGGGCTAATATCTAAGGAACATTCATTTTCCTTTACCTCCATTGAGCTTATTATCAAGATGGGAAGCTCATATCTAAGAGCAAGATAAAGATGAGAATGTACCCAGTGTGCAGAGCACAGCAGGAGGACGTGCTGAATTTTCCATCTGAGATCAGTGATGAGGGCGTATCCTGTGTGGAAGTACCACTGCTGGGGCCCCATTGGAAGGGGAGGATGCAGGGTAAAGCAGTCCCATGGGAAGGATCCTCGTCATATTCCTAACTTTGGCACTACTGCTCACAGTGAGGGAACTGGCAAAGCACTTACAGCTAAAGGACAGCACTGGGTTCAAACCCCCTATGGACCAAGAACAAGAAAGTACACTTTCATAGACTACAATACAATTTATCCAAGTAAAGTTATCATTTATAAAAGGCTATGTAAATATGATAAGCCCAAAACATACCTTATCTGTTTCCTCGATGCTGATACTAACACCATATGTCTTATCCTGGAATAAGCCACTTTTCCCTAAGTAACATTTTAAATTCATTTTCAAAGAATGCTCAGGCAATCTGGCAAGTCTTTAGGATACACCGAAGACGTAGATTCTCCAGTCACACTGACAATTTCACTGGGGTCCTTTGAACACAGGTCAATTGTGAATGCACTCTTATGCTGGGACTTGCAGGTACTGGGTCCAGGGCATCCCTGACAATGAGTTGGTGGTACATTTCAAATTCTCCACTGCCCAACTCTGTCAGACATTTTATCACCAAAGCCTTGAATGATAAATTAAAACAGATAGATGAATTTTGGCAGTGGAATTTTAACATGTCTGTAACATGTCACTCAACATAATGGCAATGTTAAGAAAGCTCTGTAAGTCAAATATTAAAATGAGCCATTCAGTTGGTTGATGATTTTTTCATCTCTGAACACATCCAAGATGCGGACTTCAAAGTGATAGATTTTGTGCTAAAGCCCTAGAAGGGGTAGTGAATCCTAACTCACCATGGATGCTAGTAATATCAATAATGTGGCCTTTCTTTTGTATCACATATGTTTTGTTAATACCAGACTACTACTTATCACAACATTAAGATCAAAAGCTCCAACTCGTTGGGCTCATAAATTGAGATTCACTTATTTAATTAGTTAATTTATCAATTAAATTGCAATAAAACAGTTACAAAGAACAAAATATAATTTACAGTACTAGCTATGTAAATGTCTCCTGACTTTACCTTGTGCTTTGTAGTGCACTGGACTCCAGCAACATCTCTGCCATGGAGTAACTTTACCTCCAGTTGTGGCCAGGAATTCCAAGGGAGGATTTCTTACTTACTCCCAACATTGCACAAGAGTAACCACATGCAAACCTCCCACTCAACCAATATTAGTAATGCATTTACTACCAGATTGAAGTGCTTTAAACGTTCAGAGCAAACACATTTGTTTATTTCTTTCTTAATTTGCAAGGCCACTTTGCTGGCAGA